TGCAAAAGTTGTTTCAGCTGATGCAACACTGGCAACCTGAATTAGCTTAGGAAGTTGCAGTTGATACTTACATAACATATAGACAAGTTGCCGTCTCCTGTCCGGCTTTCTGCCAGGCCCACTTCTCTAATCGCTGACAAGAAAGAAACTTCAAAGGACTAAAAACCTCATTAGCCCTAACACCTTTCATTCTCGATCTGCGTAGCATTACGTTGCTCTGAAGTTCTGGGCACCCCAGCGCACAAGCTGAGGTGACTCGCACACCTCTTTCAGCTGACCTGAGTTTGTGGCACCACGCCCATTGGTGTGTGCGTTTGATCCATTGAGTTGGGTCTGGATCAAAGCATCTATCAAGGAACATCAATGGCGGTGAGAAACCAAAACTCAAAGTCGAAGTGAGATTTCTACCAACGGACGTTCCTTGTAGGCCTCCCCAGAGTTCCCTTTTGGCAAACAGTTCCGGCCAGCTCTGTGATCTACAAAAGCCACAGTTTGGAATATGATCCGCAACATGGAAAGTGTGTCAAAAGGAGCCACTACAAGTCACTCGTGGGATTACCCTTCCCTCAAGCACCCCAGGCCCCAGGACCTTCAAACGGAAGGATTTGCAGCTTCAGGCCCGACTTCATACTGAGTGAATGATGAGTGATTTCCCTAGCCCATCTTCAGTAAGATCAGGTTTCCCATACAGTCGAGCTTGATGTGAAAAGGTCGTGGGGTTCGATAAAGGCATGGTCCCTTCAGAACCCATGACCTTATTCAAGGTCAACGAAGTGGTTCAATGAGATTCAACCCAAGCCCACCAACCCAAACACTCTTGGGAGTCTGCCATTGATTTCCAAGAGCTTCTGTCGCACTGCCTGGTGCCGAATGTTCAGCGAGAAGAAACGCTTGGAAAGGCGACCGGGAGCTGGGACTGCAACTCCTGCAACCTCTGCAACCCCAGTACCAAAAGCCTGGGGCGCAGCAACCCCTGTGCCACTGGACACTGGAAGCGCTGACTCCTTCCACTAAGCAGCGTGCTGGAGAAAATGCTCGGGTCTCGACCACTCACCAGAAGTCCCGCCACAGAACAACCTGGAAACCCAAACAACCAGAAACCAATGAAGACATGGATGTTTCCCCAAACAACCGCTTGTTATGGAAAGGATCTTAATTGATATACTGGTTCTTTTGGTTCCAGAAGCATAATATACGTATTATATTATATATGTGATGCTTTTGGCATTTGGCATCCCTGCTTCTATATATAGTATAGATCGAGTCTGGGGGATTGGAACATTGAAGTCTTTCCTCTGGATGTAGGGAAACCGTGGAAAATGCTCATAGTATAATATATATATGAATATGATGCACGATCATCCAGTACATGTATATATATATAGAGCCCGCATGCAAGTCTATGACATTGTATGCCTAATTACTATATGCTTCTTAACTCTGCCTGCCACAGCCTAGCCATGCCTAGCCTAGTCGTAAGTGCCTGTCATCGTGTCTGTGCTGTCAAGCCCGCCTCAGGCAAGGAAAGGGCCATGTCGCACCTTCGCCGACCGTGCGCTCAAAGCAGCACAAGCCATAAATCAATATAACAAAAAAAACATACAAATATAAATCGGAATTTGTTGGGACATTTTCAGGTTTTACACCGATGAGCGATGTCTTCAACAACTTCCGGCACCCCGACCTCTGCAGCTGAAGGCGTGGCCGAACGGCCGAACGGCGTGCTGCAGGGAGGTCCCAGTCTCTTTGCGGTGAAGGCTGAGAAGGCACAAAGTAGTTAAACTCTGGTTAAATGTTTCATAATACTTGCCGCATCTTGCTGCATGCCTCATGCCTTGTCTCCCCAAAAGCGGGTGCAATGTCATCTGTTTGCTGCTGCTGCCGAACATCTATCAAACATGCCCTTCTGAGGGATCTCAAGGTATCTCCGTCTTCATCTGGAGCTATGTCGCGATCACAAACCCCCGTGGAGCTACGTGATCTCATCTCCGCATGGACTTGATTGACAGTGCCTACTGCGAGCAATCCGGTTTCGGCGTGAGCAATCCGGTTTCGGCACCGCACCACGTGGAAACCTTTACGGTGCAAGTCCAAACAGGTTGACCACAGCAAAGCAGGTCAGCACAGCTGAAGAAGGGTTGTAAAACACGACATCATGCAATATTTGCATGTGCATACGCAAATCACAACTGGGTGCATCACTGTTCTTTGAAAACAAAGGCGACCTCTTGTAAGAACTCCACCACGTCTTTGTTTCCTTGACAAGATCCAGTTTAGAACCACTTTGGCATTCGTGCCCAGGGATGCCCAGAGCTATGGTTCATCGGGGGTTGCTGCAGCGACCTGCCAAACTTGCGTTACTTGCTGTGAAGTGGCCTGGGCAACGTGATTCTGCACTGACAAAATAAGATAAATTTATATCTAAATAGCTGTGAAAAACGCTGCATGCAATGATGACACTACCGTCCCATGGCTAACAAATGGATGGATATTTTTCCGGTAATTATTTTAAGTGTTTTTCCGGACATGTTTTTTCACGTTTTTTCCCGTACTGTTTTTGCTTTTGCTTCTGCTGGGAGTGCTTTGCAAGCACTAGGAGCAGCAAACGGGGCAGGGGACGAAGCACCAAAGCCAGCGTGACAGTGACAAAGGGAGGGAACAGAAAAGGTATTCCACTTACTAGGGACTTCTTTGCAGTTGTCTTTAGCTTCCTGGTTTCGGGTTTCTTTGGGCTCGGTTTCTTGTCTCTGGGGTTTCTTTAGACGTCCTTCCGGAAAAGGCATCCCACTTAACGAAGGAGAAGTAGGAGTGAGGAAAGAGGAGAGAGGAACTTTTATAGGGACTTTTCTGCGGTTGTCTTTGGGTTTCAGTGGTTTCGGGTTTCTTTGGGCTAAGCAAAGTAGAAATCCACCTTTGTGGCAGCGTCAACGCAACATAGTAGTTGTGGTAACTGTGGTAAGACTTGTAGCGGGGTGGTCTGAGTGATAGAGGTATTGGAAATAGTAGGGGTGGTGGACGGTAGTGGGAACTATTTAAAAGAAAGCGGGAGGGGGTGCGGGGGAGGGCGCAGTGCCCCCCCCGCAATGAAATCAAATATAGACAGCGCTGGGCTGCTTCGTTTCTTGATTGGTGTAATTGGGTGTCAAAGCTCAAGGTGAAGGTCTTATCATCCAACTTTGTGGCAGTGTCAATGCAAAGAAGATAGTCAGCAGAAGCAAAAGCAGAAGCAAAGGCAAAGCAACAAAGCAAAAGCAAAAGCAGAAGGAAAAGCACAAAGCAAAAGCAAAAAGCAAAAGCAAATGCAAAAGCAAAAGCCAAAAGCAAAAAGAAAAAACAGAAGCAAAAGCAAAAAGCCAAAAGCAAAAGCAGTAGGGGAAAAAAACGCGCAAAAAAAAACGGAAAACAACCTGGAAAGAAATCGGAAAAATAGGGGTTCCCTAACAAATTCCATCGGTGGAGTTTATCAGCAACAAAGGGGTTGTCAAGCACAAGGAATGTCAGCACATCACCCCTTGTGCGCCTCTGAACAACACTTGACCAATGGTATGTCCCATATGTCCTACGACTTTTCAGTCTGGAAACTCTGGTGGTTGAGAGGGCTAATCCAAGGTTGAAGGACTGCGAGCCCTACAAACCCATCAGTTTGTTGATAGTGGTTGTTCTATTGTTGACCACCGTTCTCCAAACAGTTGGCACTTTTCCGCTCGCAAGGCTGGCGGCTTTTGCGAGGCACATTCCTCCAGATTTGCATGGAGAGATCTGGAGAGGACAACCTGTCGCCGATTTTGCGAAACAGCCCACTCCTGGTGTCCCCGATGGGATGTTTCCATTGGCACATACGGAAGACATCGGACATCGATGTGCGACTGCGTGACACGTGACACAAGAGTTCATGTCGATGTGTCCTGCCCTAAAAATTCGACTAACACCTGCTTCGGACTGGATGGCTGATCAATTTGTACATCAGCAAAGTCTCGGGTCCATGTTGGACCTCAGAAACTGAATCTAGCCGCCCAGCTAAGCCAAGCATAGCTGAGCTGCGTAGCACCAATACATGCCAACCAATTATATTGACACTCATGACTAGAGCTCTTTTGCCTTTTCAGACTCCGGCAGCCTTCGGCCATCTTTTGGCTTAACACGCCTTTTCTCAGTCAGCCCTGGGATGCCGAGTTTTGCCTTCAACCTTGGGAAGCATGCAGGTGCCCGTGCTTGCCACCGGTGTTTGTTTGTTGTTGGTCACATGCAAGTGTTCAAGCCGAAGATTCAGGGTTCCGTAATATATACAGTATGTATATATTAAATATTTACTTGTGTATATATATATATGGGCTAATAGGGGTCATATGGGATCATCCAAAAAAATTGCAGTTTTCAGCAGCCCAAAAGCTGTGGCAAGCATTGATATTTAGATAAACAATTAAGATCAATTAAGTATGTCAAACAATAAAACATGTTGTTGCAAACTCTTTCCAGCCCCTCCACTCACGTCCATCCCTTCCATCTCCATCCCATCTTTTCTGCGCGATGGCGTGGAATGGCCCTGCATGGCGCCATGTGATCGCCCTGGGCGGGAAGCTCCGGCGGTTTCTGAGATGAAGGTGGAGCATGCTAGCCTGTTCCAAACTACGAACTCCGGAATGGTCCACACCAGGGGAGGTAAGGTAGCAGCTTGGTTAGATTGGGGTGTTGAAGCCACCCGCGGCTTTTAAAATCATCTCCCAAAGGCATTGGAGACCTCGTACCTTGTAGGTTTGGCGCCCACACAGCCATCCCTATAAGGTCTTGTGACAGGCAATGCATGGGCCAGGTTCTCGGGCAAAACCATATTAAAAGCACCAGCACCAGCAAACGTCATAAACATTCATAAAGGGGCTTTCCATCCCATGCGCATCAGCAATGCATGCAATTCACGCACATCAGTTGTAAGGATTTGAAGAGCACATTGAACCAATTCCAAAACCCACGCCTTAGCGCAGTTGCTGAAGCAGCTGGATCTGCTACCCTTCCACGTGCGTGGTCAGGCAAAGTGCCAACTTGATAAGGTCCTTGTCATCAGCAACGGTGACATCACACAGCTAGCACAAATTTAGATCGCCGGTAGGGCACTATCACCTGTGAGAACTTCTCTTCCGGTCTGTCTGTCCCTGCTCCAAAGAAAGGCTCAATTTGGAATGTAAAATGCCTTTTGCTATTGACACCTGCCATTTTGCCACATGACATTGGAACCACACTCGACAAACCCGCATACAATGGTCATTTGGCTGTCCTGTTTCTCTTGAATTAAAGCATTGCAAACATAACAGGTACATTTTCCACGCTTCCAAGCATCGTAGGAAACTCTCTGCCGTTCTTCCTCAGCAACATGTTGAGGCGATGAAGTACATTTCTAGAGGAGCATTGATCAAACTTGTGTCAGGTAAGCTGTGTCGGTGCTTTCTCGCCACTGTCGCGGCACAGCCCTTCTTGAATGTACAAACGGTCAAAAAAAAAGGCATGTAGTAGTCCAAACAAGCTTTCGCAACTACGCAACTACATTCACAACAACAAATGCAAATGTCACTTTCGTCTAGCTTTCTCAAGGCTTTTGCCCCCTTGACATGGGTTTTTAATTTGGCCATTGCCCGACATGAACCTCATCTAAATTCCATTAAGTATACTTGAGGGTTTTGGATGCTGCTCAGTTGGATTGGACCTGACCAACATGGTGCAATACCTGGAACGATCAAGACAGAACTCGAACCATGAGGGTTCCCACACCACTGACATCCACTGACACATGCCACACAGCCAGTCCTCTTCCCATCTTATTGAGGGACTCTGCCACACTCCCGTTTGTTCTTCACATTGTCTTCGTTGGAGCTTAATTTGTTGCCACTGCAATCTGGCAAGCATCATCCATCTCTATAACTCTACAAGATGCAACCAGCACCTCACGCGCACTTCTGGCGCACCTGCCTCGGCACTTTTGTGTCCTCATTCCGGTTCGTTTTTTTCCGTGAGCTTTTCCTGGCGCCGTGCACGCTGCTTCTCCCCTTACCAGCAGCCAAGCCTCCGTCAAAGGATGCGGATCTGTCTGCTTCTCAAGGGCCGCAGTGTACGCAGCAACCATGGTATCTCGGAGGGCCATTTCCATGAGCCTGCCAAGCTTCGAATTCGGCCTATGCCGTCCCCGGGTTGAAAGCATATTATAGTATAGCTCATCCCCTTTGCAATGGGACATTTAACTGCAAAACTGAAATGGGCCTGCTATATTTTATATAGTATACATATAAAACATAAATGTTATATATATATAGAGGTATATACATATACCGCATCATACCGCTTTCCATGTTCTGAGCATGTCTTGCAGTAGTTATGCCATGTCCGTTGGCCAGACTAGGCAGCTGCGAATCACAGCTCGCATCCCAACTTTCAAATGTCGAAGCTGGTGGAGTCTCGTAGGACAAGGACAAGGGAATCACACCCCAGCCAAAAGGACTGAACTACTAACTGTCAGTGGTCGGTATACAGAACACCGTTGCTTTGTCCAGATTCTTTAGGGGTATCCCATTCATTGTTTTTCGGCATTTTCAGTTCCTGAAGAAGGCACCCGCCCTCTTCAGATTTGATTCGACCGATGTCAAAGGACCAACAAAATTCAACGCTTAAACCTCGATGAGCCTCTGGAAAAACCATGCTGGCTTTGAATAGCAAAAAGGGATTGTGCACTTCCATATTTGCTGAGGGAGGGTGCACACATAATTCCTATTTTGTGAGTTTCACCCACACACATGCTCCTCTTAAGGCTCGGTGCTTTCTCAAGAACCAGGTAACCAGTGATGCTGAACATCTCTGCATGGAATCCCTGAGCCATCCGAAACCCCGTCTTGCTTGTATGCCACTATAATGCACCTGCGGAGCCAAAAAGGAACTCTTAATGACATATAAACTCTTCCGTCTCCTCAGTTCTCTCACACCACATCAGGAAGAACTGCCACTCTTCGCTCTCGTGTGGCGTCGGCGCGGGCGCCCAGGTGCGCGCCTGTGTGACTCCGGCGCCTTGGCGTTGGCCACTCCGGTGCTCGCGAAGTCGCTCCCCGCGAGGACCTCGGTGCGGTGCGACCGAACCCGCGAGGACCTCGGTGGATGAATCAAGTGGTTTTCACGGTGGGGGTTACAGTATATAGGTGGTGTTCAAGCCGGTGCCAGCACCTGGTAGTTTTTTGAATGACCTGGTGGCATTTAGGCAAAGTTTAGACCCAGGGACCCCAAGATTGTGCATTAGGACCCTCGTGTTTTGGGGGATCAAGTCATCTTCATCGATTTCTTCTCAATGAGTCAACTTGTTGTTTTCCTTGAGGGTGGGGTCCTCTATGGCTATAGATGTTTTGCACTCCATTCACCGATGAAGACTCCCCCGCCGAAGCTGCGGTTTTGCATCACGGTGAAGGACCCCGTCGACCTTTCTTTCGGTGTTGCACTGAAGGCCCAGTCTCATGGTGGACAGACTCAGAACATCTCAGAACCCAGTTTTTAACAAGGAGATGAAGCAAACAGGGTCTCCTAGTTGGTTGGGGGAAGTTTTCCTCCAGTCAGTGTAGCCTTCCTTTTGTGAAGCGCTTGTGCATCATGACCAGCTGCCATCTTCATCCCCATGGATTCTTCAAAGGCCAGGATGGCATCAAAGCCTCAGAGTGAGCGAATGGTCACTCTGAGTCAATGGCCACAAACAGAAACACATGTTGCCCCCCCCCACCCACACACACACACACACACGTGCTTAGAAATGATAGTCTGGTAAGTCTGGTAGAGAAAAAGACCTGTCTAGCCTAAAATACTGAAAACATCTGAAAAAACACAATGAATGCGCACTAAACCTTCCAACACCTTTGAAGGTGGGGTGTTCTTTGCCCAGCTATGTTCAGCTCGTGGCCCGTGTTTGAGAGCCCGAAGCTCATGGCAACGACTATACATGGGTTGCGTCTCTCTCTCTCTCTCTCTCTTTTTGAACGTCTCAACCTAAGCACAATTCCAACCGGTGCAGTACTGATGATGATACGGTCAATCCTTGTCCAACTCATTACAGTAGCTATCATTCACCCTACTGATTCGAAACAGTATGCCTAAGCAGCAGCATCCTAGCGCGCGCACACAATCAAACATATATACAGTATCATAATAAAGTATATAGCGCGCTGGGGGAAACAAAACAACCTGAGAGTAAAGCGAGACAAAAAGGGAGAGAGAGGGAGAGAGAGAGAGAGAGCAACCATGTTCCATCTGGTAAAAGTAAGGAATATATGCCATGTCAACTGCCACGTCACAATTTCTATGAGCAAATCTCAAAGCCAGTCGCAGGAAGTGACTTCCACTGGAAATCCTTCAAAGACCGCTCACCATAGCATAGCCATGGGGCTGTCGAGAAAGCTGCTCTGACTCAGGGCCTGTGGCGCGTGGCATCCAAAACCGGTTTTCGGGAAAGCATTCCTTTAGCAGCATTCAACAAAACCACTGCACCACCTCTCACAGAGTCGAGTATACAAGTGACCCAAGTAAGTATATAGTATATATATATATATACCATTATATACCCCACGATCTATCATCAACGTTTGATTGCAAATATTTTGAAGATCCAGCTGACCCAATCACATGCAAACGCGGGCAGTATCCTCCAACCATGATCGCACTGTGAATCCACCGCGCGAACCGTATCAGTCATTGGAATTGTATGGAATTGTTTGGGCGTCCAATGGTGTGTCCATAGCCACAACCAACTGCTAACATCTAGTAACATACCTAACATGGATCAGTCCGTTGCTATGCATGATTGGTGGGGGTGGGTCCATTGCTTCACCTTTTGCCTCGACAGGTGGGCTCGGCCGGGAGCGCCTCAGGCACAAAGTTCTGTCGGGTGAAGGCCATGTCGAAGTCCAAAGCGGCCAGGAATGTTTTGGCACCTCGTCGTGCACCCTCCAGAAAACGATATGGACCATGGACCCTGACAACTTGCCAACGGGTTGCTGGAAGATTGTCTTCCTCTACCCAACCTGTGGCTTTCAGGGTTTTCAGGGTCCATGTCTGTGAGTCTTCCCGGGCGTACAACATGGCATCCCGTCGTTTACACCCGCTCCCGGCGGCAACAAACATCGCGTGAACAACTCTTCAGCCTGGACTCGTATACTGGAGATGACCCAGGTATTGCTAGTCACTTGACGACCAAATGCATCGGAGTCATAGGAGTCCATGGACCCTGTGTTCTCGTGCTCAGCATGTGCTAGCATCCCTTTTCGCGATGCGAAAGGCTTGCGGGACAAAAATCATGTTGAATGTGTTCTAGCAGGGTCATGGCCACTTCACTGGGCCGGGTCATGTGACTCCCTTCTCATTACAGGATCAACAAAATCAACAGAGATCAACTGAGATCCCAAACATCATGGCATTCCCCAGCCACAATAAACATTCATGTCATGAACTGGTATAGCAGCCACATCAGTGCACAAATGGAAAGTCCATCCCAAAGATGCCACCCGTTTCCGATGCCTCACGCCCACACCACCAAGCTCAGTCACCACCACTGAGACCACAGGGTCCTTTCACCACGAAATTGTTGATGTGGGCATTGCAGTGAATTCCCATGCCTCGGCGGGACTTCAAAGCCTACTTCGGTCGACCTGAGAACCAGCGAAAGGACTCGACTGTCTAGACGATTGGTTTGTCGAAGAATATCACCGAGATTGCATACGTGCTTGATCGTGCTTGTGTATCTGTGTTTGCTTTCGTTTGAGAACAAACGTATGATATTAAATGATAGTAACAACTTACAATTGGTGCTCATTTAGCATTCATTTAGCATCATTTAGTATTATCGTGGGTGCACCATCTGAGATCAACGGTACATCAGCAGCTTTTCATGGTGTACTCAATGTTTCACCACCACGGACCGTGCCAAACTCTCCGCAGCCGTGCCAAACCTCACAAAAGCTGGGCTGCTGTCTGCATAGGTTCCCCAAGAGATCTCAGCGTCATGTAGGGCTCGCAATGTTTCACCGCACTCCCAGCCTAAGGCCACACCGATCCAAACACGAAGGGGTAGGGTGGAAAAAAAGGAACAAGCAGTTTCGCAGTTGTTCCCCTACAATGCGTTTGTTTTCGATCTTGGGATGAGGGTATATGATGGTTCTACATGACTTCTTAAAGTCCGCTAAAGGGTGACCATGTGCATTCTGCAGCACCCACGTGAGTTCCTTCTACGTAAGAGGGGGGGCAACGAGGGGTACCTCTGTCCAAAATCATCCGTGCTATCAGAACCACCTCACTTTGAGAGAATCAAATACCTCAATTCCAAGACATTCAGCATCTGAGATCACCAGCTCCAAGTCCAAGCACATCCAAGCCACCTAGGCGCCAAGCCAACCACAGCAGGCTGGAGGCCTCGACCTTTTCACGGAGATCGTCCCAAAGGCCCTGGAAGGCCTGGGGTACCTGAGTTGTTTCAGGGGTGATTCGTGACAAAAAACAAAACGATTTTTCCATCGAGTTCCTCAACCCCCCAAATCGACAAAGAAGTGAATGAATCCCCAAACGGAGGCATCAAAGGAGGTAAACGGCCAACAGGAGCAGCTGTTGGACACACTGGCTGGCGATTCTTCTCTCCCTATTTGCCTTCAATTCTCCCCCCCCCAAGCAATAAGGAAAACACATCGGAAGGATTTCTCACCGAATTGCTTGATCATCCCCGCCACCGAGGCACGGCCGGCTCCAGCTCTGACGAGCTGGGTGGCTGCCTTCCGTCCAGGGCCACGTCCACGCAGTCGGCCGTGGGCAAAGCGCAGCTCACGAGGTCACACGTCTCTAAGAGCTCAGACTCGTCACTCCCACGACCTCGGCCCGAACTCGGAACTCGGCCCGAGTAAAGGGCCAGCGCACCCTTGACAAAGGGTGTTGGGCATCATCTTGGTAACCTGGTATCTGCAGGCTTGATTGCTGGTGCCCATTGGTGGCCTTCCCTTCCCCTGTTGAGGTGATTTGAGGATTGGATGGGGGGGGGGTTTGAGTCTGTGACATTGATTTTGGACATTTGGAGCAACTCTGAATTGACACAAACACCTCATCTACAGCAGGTTCTACGTAGATAACACAGCCCATAATACTGCCGATTGTTTCGGGGTGTTTGGGAGGAAAAGTCGTTGATCAAGAAAACGACCTTGGACATGGTTCGTTGTGTAATATACTAGCTCCAATCTTTCACCCAGGATACTTTCAACTATCAGTCGGACTTGGGAAACTAATTATGGCAAAGAAAGCAAAAAAACATTCTGAGCAAGCAAGGGAACCCCGAAGAATGCACTGCCTTAGCCAAGAAGCCAGGTTTTAGCCCAGGCAAGGCCCGCACAAAGTAAGCAACCTGACCTTGATTGTCCTATCCTATCTGTTCCAAAATTGAATGTCGTGCATTTCCCACATCCCGCTTTGATTTCGATCTGCATTTCCATGCTTTTCATGTCCATGATGTACCTGGCCTCAGGCGTTGCGAACGCCATCAACGCCTTCAACTGCATGCGTGCGGGGCCCTGACCCCCCCCAGGCGAGTCCGAACGGGTCGAGGCCGAGACTGGTGCTCGAACGGGCCAACCGAGCTCGAAACGCCCAGATGCGTGAGCTCCTTCTCCATGGGCTCGAGCACATGTGGCAGCAGTGCCAAAATTCCACCAATCAAGTGGTCTCCCAAGCCTTGGGTCTGGAAATGGTCTGGAGCGGTCTACCACGTGTTTCATGGGGAAATCTGGACATGGACCCAACAAGCTCCTACCTGACCTATGCTGCACGTGACTCACGTCTCACGTGACCTTCTGTGCGAAAACAGGGCCCTGGTGTATGGACAAATCAGCTGCTCTGTAAGAGATTTTGTAAGCAGGGGAGGGTCTACAAAATAGCATGCTAACTATACTGCTGATCATCACTTGTCTTTGAGTCTTAACACTCGCCCCCATTGATGTGCTATCCAGGCTTCACCATGCAGCAACAGCACGCTTCAGACAAAGTCTCTACACTCTACAGTAGTACTTGGTTGGGCCAGGCTGCGCGCGTTGCCCGAGGTCTGAAAGACGCCGCAGTACCGATCGATCTCTGGTAAGGGCCAACTAGGCTCTGGCCGATACCAATAGCAGCCCAACGACCTCAGATGTGCACAAGACGTGCATTGATTGAGTTGCCCCCCCAACTAGGCCACCACGGGGCCTTGCAAAGCAGAAGCTCTAGCTACACGCGGGGGGCCGCGGGGGGGCAACATGTGCCAGAATAAGCACCTCGAGCTGGCTCAAAGCAGCCACCCTGGGCAGGATCAATGAGATTTCTTGGCCGTAAAGGTGTTCATAATAATGGATACAACTTACAACTATGAATATGTAATATTTGTCTATAATATGTCAATGTGTATATATATATATATGTGTGTGTGTATATCTATAGTATATACGCACCCTCATGAAGAACTTAAACACACCTGACATTTGCCCCAAACATGATCCAGTCAGATGCCCCACTCGGTTTCAAATCCCATGTTGTGCCATGTTTTCTCCACAGCATACACTGCAAACCAGCGGCTGATTGGCACAGTCAAGCCCCGCTTTCTGTAGAACTTCGGCGACCTGAGGCTCAGCCGTTGAGGCTTGGCGTGTGTGTTGTAAACATACTGTGCGTCGCATCCTTTTCGATGGAGAACCCAGAATAAGTGCCTATTTGCAATACATTTCCAAGCCATCCCAGTAACAGGTGCCTTACTAGTAGTAACAAGAAACTATTAGGAACAAGTGCCACGCTAGTAGTAACAGGCGCCTTACTAGTAGTAACAAGACCAAGTCGCCAAATCGTTCATCCGGACTTCAGTGTAAGCTGTGTGCTTGAAGCACGATCCCCGGATCGACGCTTCCTTGGCACTGAGTCGTCGCTGGTGGCCAGTACAAATGCCGTTGTGACGCTGACATGTGCTTTTTGCTTGTTGGGACTGGCCCCTGGAACTTTCGGAGATTCCTACAACTTTCTGAGATAGATCAATATAGGACAGCCTGTCACTAGAACCCATCTATCTACTCCAGCTCATCCCCCATAATCATGCGATGTATCAGATCACCGAGCATCGCCCTTGTTGCCCACCTTCGCCATTGGAAAGCCTTCATCGCGATTGCCACAGCCCTTCAAGCGGAACCACTGGCCTTTGACCTTCACCAAAGCCGAGCGAACTCCAGAGGCCAAGCCACCTCAGTTTCGCCACAAAACAGTCGCAGGACATCAAAGGTGCAATATCCTTCAACCACTGGGAAGCCATGGAGAAACTTGTTGTCAGCTGTAAATGAGCTTTTGAAAAACGGTACCTTTGGTGGCTTGCAGTTTTGGTGCACAGTCGTGCCTTTTGCAGGGGCCTGCCCCCGCTGTCACCATTCTGCTGAGGGAGGTGCCACACTTACAGCATAGAATGAGCTAACCGGTTACCAACACCATTGGCCTTGCACCCCCTAGAAGCAAGGGTTTCGTTTTGACGTCGACGTGTCCCCGCTTCAAAGAAAACAAGATGGAACCCACGAACCCGAATGCAAACACGTTCAAAAAGCTACATATGTCCAAATGACACTCTTGTAGGACACTCTTGTGGGACACTCTTGTGGGACACTCTTGTGGGACACTCTTGTGGGATACTCCTGTAGGACACTCTTGTGGGACACTC